ATTATGAGCAAGTATTAGAAGTGATCTATTTCAGTGAGAATTTAGTCACAGTTGAAGATTGAGATGTGAAAGCTAATAGTGGCTGTATGATATGAATTCCACCTCTGTAAGCCAAATGGAAATTTATGGATCGACAAAACTCAGTAAATTGTTTAATTACACCCACAGACCACAGTACACTTATTCACAGCTCCAGATGAACAAATATCTAGTTTTTATCAGAAATATGTTTCTCTCCTATATGTCTTTAACATTAACATTACCTATAAGAAAGTATAAAAAGGTAAAGCAGAGTATGATATAAAATATGAAAAGTACAGAAAGCTTTGTTGGACATCATAGTTCTCATTCAAGGAGTACAATTAAAATCCAATAGTGCTAAGTAAAATAAATAAGACTGGACCCATTTTTATATTTTAATTATCAATCCCATGGTTTGATTTTGGCTTGTTAACGTATTAGAATGGCACTTTGAACTCGACAGGGATTATGCTTGTTTTTATTCCCTTCATGGTCAGTTGGACACTTAAAATGATAGTATTATCTCCATTTGTCCAGCACTGACAAGGGATGAGGTGCCATGTGAAGTTGTTTTCCAAATAATATAGTCTTGCAAGAATATAAGCACGAAAAGCTTAACCTGACTGGGAAATTTTGAAAGTGTATTTAGTCTTAGCTACACAGTGCTGAGCTTTGCTACTCCTTGACCCCCTGTGATACTGGGGCTATGTGTTCTTCTTGAGTGATCCCCAACTGACATTGTTGTGTGCTGTCTTGTGTCAATTTCCACACTTTTTTTTCTTATTTGTAGCTAATACTGTCTGAAACAACACTTTTCCTGTTTCTCTCCAGCCCCTTCTAATTGTATGTTTCTATTTCTAGTAAAGCAGAAAACCACTGAACCAAACACACTAAGTGCTGTATCTAGTCCTATCTAGGGCTGCATTTGTTTCAAATCAGAGAACACTGAGATCCTGTGAAAGCTATGTTTATTGTCTACTACATACCAGATTCTGTACTAGATATTGTATATAATTTTCAAAATAATTTTTAAAGATAGGTACTAGTTCCTCGTTCTGTAGGTGAAAGAACTTGAGACTTACATTAAGTAATGGGCTCAAGATCACAATGCTAGTAAAGAATATGCTAGAGGTGGGCATGGTGGTGTACACTTGTAAACCCAGCTTCTTGGAAAGGTGTCAGGCAAGGAGTCATTAAATTGATGTCATTAAATTGATGTCTATGAAAGACTGAAAGAAAATGTGACTGGAGGCAAGGAGCCAAGTGAGAGTGTGTTTTAGCAGTGGCAGCAGGGCTGGAGAGAAGGCTCAGTGGCTGCTCAGAAAGAAGCTGGGATGAGTGTTGATTGGAGATTGGGGTAGGGATAATAAATCATCAAGGCAGAGGCCTAGGTTTCTGTGGAAGCTTCTGCCCTTTCTGGTATTGGGATAGGCAGGTAGGTTAGCAGGAGAGGCTTACAGGCAAAATGAGGGCATTTTGGACACTGGGTTTCAGGTGTTTGTGAAGGTGTTACAATGCAGTTGAATATTTGCTTTCCAAGTTAAGGAGAGTCATCTGGCTACAGACTTAGTTTTAGAATGAACATCATATGGTGTTTCAATAAACCTGCGGAGGAGACGGAGTTGCCGAGGGAGACTATGTGCAGTGAAGAGAGATGAGATCTCAGGTGTGGACCCCCCCCCCCCGAACACCAATATTTAAGACACAAATAGCATACAGGGATGGCTAGAAAGCCATGGTACTGTGATGTCATGAAGGCCGTGTATCAAGGTGGAAAGAGTGACCTCAGTATATGCCCAAAAGAAATGAAAACCTTTGACCACACAAAGAACTGGTTGTGAGTGTTTAGAGAAGAATTATTCCTAATTGCCACAAGCTGGAAACAACCTGAATATGCATCAAGTGGTGAAAGAATAAAATTGCAGTATATTTGTACAATGGAATACTCAGCAATGGGAAGGAATTGCCTATTTATAACAACATAGATGGATCTCACAGGCCTTGCAAAGTGAATGAAGTCAAACATAAAAGGCTATGTCCTGTCTTGTTCCAAGTATAGGACATTCTGGAAAAAATAAAACGGGGGAAAGAAATCAGATGAGTGGTTGTCAGGGGCTGGAGGTATGAGGGGTGAACTGTCAAGAAACTTGAAGGACCCTCCAGGGTGATGGCAATGTAATATCTTGATGCTGGGGTGGTTATAGGACTCCAGAATGTATCCAAACTCTTAGTCGTGTAGAGCTAAAGGGGTAGATTCTACTGTGTCTAAATTATACCTTGATAAACCTGACTCCGGTAAAAATACAACAGAAACAAAAGAAATGCTGAAAATGCCAAACACTGCTTATAAATCATGCAAGAAGAGGATTGAGATGTGCACATGGCAAGTGGCATTGGGGGTTTTATGGTCACCAGTGGCTGTGGCATTGGGAAGGCACAAACCAGAATGCTAAGGATTGAGGAGTATGGCAACAATTGTGGTTGTCTCCCAATGCTCATTTCTCTTTCTTCCAGAGGGATGGAGTCCCCCCAGTTTTTGGCTAGGCTCATGACCAGGAAGAGTGAACTCTGTTTTGCCCAGTCTCCTTGGAAACTGAACCTGAATGTGACTGAATTCTAGACAGATTGTATTAGTTAGCCTTCCCATCACTGGGACAAAATACCCAACATCCGAAATTAAAGGAGGAGAGGTTTATTTGGCTTATGGTTTCAGAGGGTTCAGTTGATGGTTGCCTGGCTCCAAGGCTGAAATGGCATGCCAGAAGGGCCTGGTGGAAAAAAGCTGTTAAACCCAAGGTAGTCAGGAAGGAAAGAGAGAGAAATAGACACACACATATATATAGACAGAGAGAGAGAGAGAGAGGGAGAGAGAGAGAGAGGCAGAGTCAGAGACAAGAACATACACACAGGTGTAAATATCGAAGCGTTTCCCTGGTGTGAGAAACTGAAAGTGTAAATAAGGATTAAAATGAGTAATTGATAATGTGAAATAGGAAGAAAAGGGGCAAAAGGGAAGTGGAAGTGAGAGGGGTAGGGGAAAGAAAAGAAGGGAAAGGAAAAAACGGAAACAAAGTCTTTGTAAATAGGGAGGGGTGGAGGAGTTGAAGGGAGGGCAGGGGAATGGGGGAAAAATAAGACAAAATACATCATGTAAAGGTACAAATTCCCTACTATAAATGTAAATGCACTGTATACCTAAAATGTACTAATAAAGGAATTTAAGAAAAAAAAAAAAAAGAACATGCACCCTTCCAGGTCATGCCCCCACTGATCCACCTCCTCCTACTAGGCTCCACTCTTAACAGGGCTGTCAGCTATGAACGCATCAATGTATTAATCTACTGGTGAGTATAGCACTCCCATAATCTAATCCCCTGCCAAAAGTCCCACCTCTGAAGACACAAGACTTTGGGGGACATTTTAAATCTAAATAATAACAGAGATGTAAGAGAAAGTGTCCTGCAGCAGCTTCCAGGAACCTTCCTGAACACGTAGCTGGCAAGCTGGCACACATCCTTTGGCCCTTCTTTGTTTCTTCTACTTTGTGCTGGGTGGAATGCAGACATGATGGCTGGAGCTGAGGAGGCCATCCTGGATCATGAAATGACTTTAAGAAGGGCGTTCGCATATGACAGAGCAACATTTTGAAGGAGATTAGGTCTTCGAGCTCTTTGAGGGTTAGGATTGCTAAACTAGCCTGGGACTACTGATCTTGGAACTCTTAAGAGATACAAGACCAAATCTTATTCCTTCATTATTTACACATGGAATTAATCTACCCCTGGAGGATACAGTGATCTGGACAACCTTCTCAAGAGGCGGGCAATGAAAGGACGAGTAAAGGTAGGATGGTGGCTGAAGGGGGACATGGATGGAGGGAGGGTTTGAGGATGGTCACATTCACACGAGACTCTTCAAAGGGAAACCTAGACTTAACCATGAATCCCTAGCCATAAATTCACAAACCTTCCCTGAGTTTGACTTTGTGGAACTGTAAATCCACTCAGAACCTTCTGCACTGGTCTTCTGGGTCCCTTAGACTCGTGTCCCTCTTTTCCACCTAGAGCCAGGGCGCCAACCACTGCCCAGAGCACCTCCCCTCTGTCTGCATGTGTGAGGCTTCTCCCCGGGCAGGCCAGCCGGCAGGGAGTCCTTTCCTGAGCGCCCTACCAAACAGGCCCACTCCCCGTTTGTTCTCCATTGGGGCACTTTTCAAAGACAGCTTTTTAAAGATCGAAGTCGTTTGCGATGAAATTCACCCAGAATGTACAAATCAACAATTCTTAGATTAATCATAGTCCTGTGATCATCACAAGTCAACTTTAGAACACCTACGACCAACAATATTTTCAGTACTTAATGTTTATAGCAGTATTTTCAGCCTTCATTGTTTTCCTATTTCTCCTGTGAATACCACTAGGGCAGAGGCTCTGGTGGCTGTGCCTGGGCTTTGCGCTGTGTCCTCAGCATCTGGTGAACCTGACACCTGGAGGGACCGGGCAGTAAGGTACAAGGAAAGCCTGGAGCTCTTCCTATCTCCCCTTCCTTGCACCAGCGGAGGGCACACGGGTGGAACCAGGTTCTCGCCGGAAGCCTGTTAGTGGAGGATTCTCAGAGCGGGTGGGGGAGGGAATATATGCCCCAGAGGGACTTATTACTGTGGGGTGAGGCTGCGGTAATTTGGGAAACCACATTCAATATAACTGTTAAAAAAACAACAACAACAGACCAGAGCAAGCAAAGCTGGACAATATCTTCCTGGGAAGCGGGAATATGCAGAATGTGGAGTGACCCGGAGAAGGGCGTGGGGTCGCCAAAGCGGGGACACACCGCATTAACTTGCCGCATCGGAGCTGGACTCTCCAGGGCAACTCAGACGGGTGCCCGCTGCGCCGGCACAATGGCGTTTCGGAGCCCGCGCCCGGCCCACAGGGGGCAGTCCTTGCGGTGTGCAGAAGCCAGGAGCTTCTTGGCTACTTCCAAGCGGCGAGAGCTGCAACCTTGCCAACGACTCAATCGTTTCCTCGCGCCCTCTGGTCTGTGCCATCCGCCGCAGACGCCTCTCTCCTCCTCCCACCCGGCTCCGCGCAGCATCCCGCGTCCCCGGGGAGCCGCCGGCGCACCTGGCGCGGGGGCTCCCGGCTCTGAGCGCTGGTGGCCACCTCGCCCTGCGCGCAGCTGCGGGCGCGCTCCCTCCCCGAAACCCAAGAGTGGAGTGGCTCGTCTAGCGCCCGGCGAACAACATTATCCAATTGCTTCCCGTTTTATTCGTAGGCTGGGAGCCGAGCGAGCCCGAGCGTTCACTTTCAGCCCTCCAAGGGAGGAGGGGGTGCGGGCGAGGAGGTGAGACGGCTCCTGGCTCCACCTCGCGCGTGGAGCGGCCAGAGCTCTCGGCGCGGCAGAGGGGAGCAGCGCCGCGAGCCCCACAGCAGCGCGCCCGCCGCCCGGAGCCCCGCGATGGAGTGAGTATCCCCGCGCCGCCGCGTTACCATGGCGACCAAGGCGGCAGGCCGCTCCCCGCCGGGTCTCAGTCCAGCATGGGTGTTTCATTTCAGCCCCGTGTGTACGGCTGGTGTTTCTATAGCAGCCGCGGTGGCTGCAGGCGGCCAGGGATAGCAGCCCTGAGATGCCTGGCTGTGCGCAGCTGCCCCTTGGCCAGCAGGGCTGTCCGGGGACCGTGATGTGGCTAGGAGGGGGGACACCTTTTAGGCTTCCCCGTCCCTGCCCCAAGCTTCTGGTTCTCGGGGAGTTGGCCGCAATAGCCATTACTTCCGATTCCTAACCGTGTCAGCAATATTGGACTGCAGTTAAAAAAAGAAAGGGGGTGGGGACTGCGGATCGGAAGCAAATGTGGTTCGGGGCGAAGCGCGTAATGGAAGGGTGATGAGTTGGTGGGTAACCTGAGCCAGGGCTACAATCCCCAGGCTACTGGAAACCGTCAGAGGACCCGAAGGAATTGATTTGCTTCTGGGGTAATGGAGAAATGAGACAAATGTACTAGCTGCAGCCAGAGGTTCAATTACAACATTTGGCACCGTGGGCACGGCAAGGGAGGGGTGGGGGAGAGATGGCATGAACACAAGAGAGGCGTTAACCAGAAAAAAGACACAATAGAGGGCTCCGGGGAGGGTCCGGACTGGGGCTCCTCTCTAAGCCGTCTCGGCAGCCCTGCGTGGCGTTTTGGTCACTCTGTTGCTGCAGCAGGGCCATTCTGACAGGCGCCAGCCGCCCCAAGCGAGGCTCATCTTCGGAGCCAGCTCTTGGGTCCCTGTCTCCTTGGCCAGAATTTTCTCGCCCCGTGCCCTTCCCCCGGATACTCCCCGACGTTGGGCCATATGAAATCATATTGCACGTTGCGGATCATGTCATGTTTTCAGGTATTGAGACCTTCATGCCAAGCCCAATGAACCCTCAATGCAGTTTTTATCCTCCTGCATATCTAATTGTGTAGATGCAATTCCATCCTCACTCATAAGCCTGCGAAAGCAGAAGTGAGAGATGGTGGGCCCTTTCAGGAGTGAGGGGTCATGGATTTCAGTCTTTCCTTGGTACTAGTGCTACTGATCGCCTATGTCAGTATTTAATGTCTCTGAGCCTCAGTTTCCCTATTTGTACAAGGGAGGCAAAGATGTTCCTTACTATGAAGCATTATTGAGAGGATCAGATATCTGTTTCTCTTCTAAGGGCATTGTAAGTTGTAAGGTATGTACAAATTTAACGAGCTAGTGTGGTGGTTCAGAGCTGGGCCTGGAGTCAGACGGTCCTTAGACGCATTGCTCAATGGTGTCGCTCTCCCTGGACCTCATTTTTCTCATCTGGAAAATGGCAATAGTAGTAGCTATTTCATGTGATTTGTGTGATAATTAAACACGTTGATTAAACAAGATTCTTAGAACAGAGCCTGACACAAAGTATGCTTAATAAACATGATCTGCTTTCCATAAGTATCATCTATTATTTCAGTACCAACACTATGGTCTCCAGCATTTTCTGTTGACATTTTATAGGGTCTCAGGTTGGCAGCAAGCTATTTTTTTTTAGATAATTTATAAAGAAACACAATGCTGGGAGGGCAACAGAGAGTAACACAGTTCCCATGATTCATTGTAGATGTGGAGAATCTGTCAGAAGCTGTGGCAGGCTTTGATACACAGGACAGAAACTGAGCTCCTTGGCCTTTGGCATGCTTCATTCTCCCTTCTCATTGTCATTTTCTTTGACATGGAGACGGTCCTTTATGAGAGATTGAATTTAGGTCCAGTCATCGCTTTGTGTAGGGCTGAAGGGTACCCTGCCATTGGCTGGGACAGTAACATTCATCTCTACTCTCTCCTGTTAATAATGCCATCTATAATATGTTTCTCTTAGATCTAGCACTTGGGTGCTCCATAACTGTGGGACCTCTTACAGGTTGTATAAGCTGACTTCCTCACACCTTTCCCCATTTCCTGCTGGACCCTCCCCTAAGGTACGCTCCAAGTGCTTTCCTTATGCCTGCAGCTCCTGTGAGCAGCCTTCTTCATCACACTCTTCCTTTCCCTGCTCAGGGTTCAAGTTGCTGCCTTACGCAGCCCCCTCCCCTGCCCAGCCTGGCCTGGCTTCCGCAGTCCAAGGTCCTCCCCACCTTCCCATTAACCTCCCAACTTCCAGCTACCTGTCTGCTCTCTGCCCTACTCCCTCTACTTCCTCAATATATCAGCTTTTCCACTCTTCTCTCCCTGAAGAATAATACCTTTTCTGTCCTTCCTTGGGTCTGACAGAATGTCCCATGTGCCAAGTTCTGTACTTCCCCTCACTCTACCCCCATCTCATCCTAGCTAACAGAGTTTGCTGTAAATATGAGTGAGGCAGGGACTCAGCTCCCCTCACTTACTGTGCCTAATTTGTATTTGTGAAAAACATAATTAAAAGAGGGAATGAAATTCATTTCTTTCATTTTTTTCATGTAATCAATAAATACATATTGACATTAGCAGTGATCAATCCACCAGTCATGATTCTCATCATCTAATAAGGGATAGATGTTAAACTTGCAATTCAAGGTGCAATAACCACCACAAAGGAAAAGAAAGGAAAAAATAACCGGAAGAGGACATAGAGCAGGGGTCTGAGAAGCCTCCTAAAAAGGATAAAGCCACCTAAAGGATGAACAGGAATTGACTAGGTGAGAAGTGAAGGGAGAAGCATTCTGGTCTGAGAAAGCAGCATGTGGTAAGGCCCTGCAGCAGGAGATGCCTTGGCAAGTTGAGTGAACTGGAGCAGAGTAGTGTGGCTCGGGCTTTGGGAGTGAGGGGAAGATTGACCAGAGATGACTAAAGAATCACCAGGGCATATCACAGAGTGCTGAGTAGTCCGTGTAAGGACTTGAGATTTCATCCTGAGTGCATCAGAGAGCCACCAAACAGATTTGCATGACTATGATGACGTTATTTGTGTTTTAAAACAGCAACGCTCAGCTATTTAAGAAAAAAACTGAAAACCATCTCTTAAGTATCGTTTGAAGTTACTTAAAACAGGTAACAGAAAATGTGTCACAGTGAAGCATCAGAAAACTGTCAATGTCTGTAACAGGAGAAAGGAACAATCTATGTTAAAGCCAGTTTGTTGTATGCCACTATCTGACCATGTTGAAAAACCCAAGGTTGTCAATTAAAATGAAACTAAATAAAATTGTTTTTTAAAAAAATCTAGTCATTTACTCATGAGCATTACTGGCTTTAATAATATAAGAGCTTCTTAATTTGAATTTAAAAATCCAGATAGTAGATTAGCGAAGAGAGTACCAAATGACTGAATTAAGTATTTTCCTTGCTGAGGTGCTTCTTGTAGGATGTTTTGAACAGAGAAGACCCACTCCTAGAAACCCAGGGGGGAGGGAAGGTGTCTGCCCACTGCCAGTTTTCTGGTGCAGAGCATTAAATATCAGACTGTGGCAGGCTCTTGGCTGCATTCCCAGTGGGCTGGGCATGAGATCTATGTGTTTGTGAGAATGCACTCTCTTGTATACAGTTACTAACTTGATCCCACACTTACAACCTTTGTTTCATACTTCTCTGGAACAGTCTTCAGAAGAGTATGGGGTCAAAAAGGCACAGACACTATGTGATAAATCAGTCTCTCTCTCCCTCTCTCTCTCTCTCCTTTTTGTGGTAGTAGGGATTAAACCCAGGGCTGCTCTACCACTGAATTGTATCTCTAGTTCTATAGTCTGTATATTTTGTTTTGAGACAAAGTCTCACTCACTAAGTTACTCAGTGTGGCCTGGAACTTGCAATCTTCTTTTTTTAAAATTAATTTTATTGGTACATTTTAGGTATACAATATAATGACATTCATCATTGGGAATTTGCACCTTTACATAGTCTCTCTTGGTTCTTACTTGTAATCTTCTTGCCTCAGCCTCCCAAGTAACTGAGATTACAGGCATGCACCACTATACCTGGCATGAGATCTCCTTGAATTCTTGGTATCCCTGCAAGCATGGTACTCTGACATTGTTACTGGTAGTCCCAGATCAGAAATGACATCTTGACAGGTGCCTGTCTTTCACGTGGACTTAGCCAAAGGACAAGTTTAAAGCGTCCAGAGAAGATCATAAAACATCTAAAGGTGGATTTTGCAAATGATCAAATCTGTGTTCATGAAGGGACAAGTGTGGTAGAGGCATTGAGTCACAGAAAAATTCAGGTCCTGAATATGTGTCTCAGTCATTTAATGCAGTCACCCACTTGTTTAGCTGCATATTTTCCATGTGTCAAATGCTGTGATAGGTACACAGGATACATAGTGACAGACATCCCTGGCCTTGTCTTCAGGGAGCTCACAGTTCGGTCTGTATGTGACAGAGGGCACCATGTAATGATAAACTGGTTTTCTTGCTAATTCTGCCTCCTTTGGACAGGAAATGTGGCTTTTCATGTATTCAGCACATTGCAGACATTGAATAAATGTGTTTAAAATTGTGTGAGGGCTGGGGACTTAGCTCAGTGGTTCCAACCCCTGCCTTGCAAGTGCAATGTCCCCAGTTCAATCCCCGGTACCAAAAATAAACAAACAAACAAACAAACAAACAAATAAATAAAAGTGTGTGAAACCTTTAAAAGAAAATTTTATAATGAAAGTAATAAATGCAGTTTAAATGCTACAGAAGTTGGTAGACTAAATCTCTCCATTTTCCATCCTTCCCCCTAAATCTCAGTGCCGAGAGGCAATTGCCATGAGCAGTTTTGAAGCATCTTTCCATATACTTGCAAATAACACAAAGTTGGAAGCGAATACTTGCATAGTTTAATACTCCTTTTACATAATGATAGCACATATGTTGTTCTCTGGCCGCCTTTTCCTCTCCACGCTATACCGTGGATACTTGTACATGCCAATACACACATTTGCATTACAGTGTATATATTTGTACATAACAATATACTTCACTTGCTTTTACTACCTACTTAATATTTATTTT